GCTTCACCAGACCAGACAAGTGCGCGGCGGGCCCATGCAAAGGGCTTAGTTAAGATATGCCAGATTCCACCAAATATACAAATTGAACCTAACCATACATGCCCTCCGATTATATCTTCTAAATCGTCTACACTAACAATCCATCCGTCGCCGCCAAAAGGAGATTTGAGTAAATAACCAAATATTAGACCTGGACTCAGGGTCAAGCTGGTAATTTTTCTTACATCTCCCCCTCCTGGGGCCCAGGTATCATATACACCTCCAAAATAAAGCGCCTTTAACACTAAAAGAAAAGCACCTATACCTAATAAGATTAAGTGAATACCTAAAATTGTGGTCATTTTATTTCGATCTTTCCATACATAACCAAAGAAAGGAAAAGATTCTTCAAGCGTCTCAGGTCCCAGAAGTGCATGATAAATACCGCCAAAACCTAATACGGCAGAGGAAATTAAATGAAGGACTCCAGAAACAAAGTAAGGAAAGGTGTCTATAACGGGCCCCTACCCCCCAACCTAGAGTAGCTAGGTGTGGAAGTAAAATTAATCCTTGTTCATACATAGGCTTCTCGGGTCCGAAATGAGCTACTTCAAATAAATTCATTGCTCCGGCCCAAAAGACTATTAATCCAGCATGGGCTACATGGGCCCCCAGTAGTTTACCGGATAAATTTATAAGTCGGGCATTGCCCGCCCACCAAGCGAAACCTGTGGTTTCTTGATCCCGACCAGTAAAGTCTAAAGTTCGATTAAAGAGCGTTTCCACGTGGTAGAACCTCCTCAGGGAATATAAGGTTTTCATGAGGCTGATCTTGAGCGGCCATCCAAGCACGAATACCTTCATTTAATAGAATATTTTTTGTGTAGAAAGTTTCAAATTCGGGATCTTCTGCTGCCCTAATTTCTTGAGAAACGAAATCATAGGCACGTAGGTTCAAGGCTAGGCCAACTACTCCCAGAGAACTCATCCATAAACCGGTTACGGGTACAAATAACATAAAGAAATGTAACCAACGTTTATTTGAAAAAGCAACCCCGAATATTTGGGACCAAAATCTATTAGCAGTAACCATTGAATAAGTTTCTTCAGATTGAGTTGGGTTAAAAGCACGAAATGTATTTGCGCCATCGCCGTCTTCAAATAAAGTATTTTCTACGGTAGCACCATGAATAGCACATAGCAAGGCAGCGCCCAGTACACCGGCAACTCCCATCATATGAAAGGGGTTCAATGTCCAATTATGAAACCCTTGAAAAAATAGGATGAATCTGAATATAGCTGCTACACCAAAACTTGGTGCAAAGAACCAACCAGACTGACCTAGTGGATAAATCAAGAATACAGAAACAAAAACAGCAATTGGAGCAGAAAATGCGATGGCGTTATAAGGTCGCAATTGAACGGATCGGGCAAGCTCAAATTGGCGTAACATGAAACCTATTAGTCCGAAAGCTCCGTGGAGAGCAACAAAAGTCCACAAACCTCCTAATTGACACCAACGAGTAAAATCTCCTTGCGCTTCAGGACCCCATAGTAACAACAAAGAATGGGCTAAACTATTAGCAGGAGTAGAAACTGCGGCAGTTAAGAAATTACACCCTTCCAAATAGGAACTAGCCAATCCATGGGTATACCATGAAGTTACAAAAGTTGTACCTGTGAACCAACCGCCTATAGCGAAATAGGCACAAGGAAAGAGCAATAGACCGGACCAGCCGACAAAAATGAAACGATCCCTACGTAACCAGTCATCCATATTATCAAATAAATCCTTGTCGTCTTTGGTAAATTTACCAAGAGCTATAGTCATAGTTATCCTCCTATTCAACTACGTTGACCATTTCCGAGCACCGCATAGCATTTTTGGGACATCTGAAGATTTTTATCATTGCGATATGATTTATCTTGCACCGCCCCTTCCCATCGGTTTCGAAGATCCAATTATTTTTGAAATATTTTCAATATTCAATATTGGAATGATTGGTCCATAAATGGTATGGAGAAATCCATGAACTTACTTGGATTCTTCTTTTGAGAACCTCTCCTTGCATTCTGAATAGCTAATACCCATTTAATTGAATAGATCCATCCATCTTTTGAAAAAAAAATGTTCTCAGACTTATTTCCTCATTTTCATTCTTATTCCTACCACTAAGCATTATTCTAAATAAGTCTGAATTTTATTTTTTTTTTCATTAATCTTATATAATAAGAATTAAAATTAAAATGAATTAGTGCACTTTTATCTCTATCTAATTTGAATATCATAATAGCGACTTTAGCCATTCTTACATGAGTCAGATCCACTATAGTTTACTTTATTTTTATAAAAGAAAATAGGAGTATTTTAGGATTTCAGAATTGATAGTTCTTTTTTTTTTGAGATTTTATAACTTTAGTATTTGAGTATAGAGTATAATTCAAATAATTGAATATAAAAAAAAGTTACACTTTTATTTTAAATCTAAAAAATAAAATAATATTCATGATCGGAATAAGATTTTATCCATTTAATTATTCTTATTACATAAAAAAAAACTTCAATTCTTTTACATAGCCCCTTAGCGGATTTGAACCGATGACTTACGCCTTACCATGGTGTTACTCTACCACTGAGTTAAAGGGGCGTATTCTATTGAATTCCTAATATATTGATAAAATCCAGAAAAGATACTCCAGTTCTCTTATATATCTCTGGATTTTAGCTAGTCTATTTATATGAAATTTCTTATTAGAAGAATATTAATTTCATTGTGGACGGAGCATATTTTAAAAATTTATCCAAAAATAGGAAAATACTAGATTTCAAATTCGGGTTTTAATCAAAGATTGCTGAATGGGAAATCAAAAAATTGAAAAACATAACTGATTAGAAAGGGAAAGATCTGTTAGAATATTTAAATCTTTTACATCTATTGACAATTTAAAAAAAAGGTTCCTACTATCACATCATAGTATGAGGTTGGTTGGACAAGCGGGCCCCCATCGTCTAGTGGTTTAGGACATCTCTCTTTCAAGGAGGCAGCGGGGATTCGAATTCCCCTGGGGGGTAGGGTACTTTGAAAGGAAGCTTATAATGAATTAATAATGTTTTAATGGATTAATTACAAAATTGAGTAGTAATTTGGCTTTTCCTGGGTCGATGCCCGAGTGGTTAATGGGGACGGACTGTAAATTCGTTGACAATATGTCTACGCTGGTTCAAATCCAGCTCGGCCCAATCATTCGCAAATCCAAATAAGAAAAAAGAACCTGACCTTGAAAAATATCTCAGAAGTATATCTGATAGATAGAAAAAGAAAAATTTTGACTGGATTCCTTAGTTGATTGACGGGGATTGTAGTTCAATTGGTCAGAGCACCGCCCTGTCAAGGCGGAAGCTGCGGGTTCGAGCCCCGTCAGTCCCGATGGATCCAAAGAAGAAAGAAATAAGGTTACTGCTTCTCATTTTTATCTTGAAGTTTTATATGGGATTAAATCCCAAGTTATTGCGAAGTAAAAAAACAACGAGATTATGGAAGTCAATATTCTTGCATTTATTGCTACGGCCCTATTGATTTTAGTTCCTACCGCCCTTCTACTTATCATTTACGTAAAAACCGTCAGTAAAAATAATTAATTAGTATTTCATCTATTTTGAAATAAAATTATCTCCTGGGTTAGATCATTAGATTATCTTATCAAAACAAATTCTATTACAAATTTTTGAAGGTTTTAATTAAAAAAAAAAGAACTGGTTCAAATTAGCAATAAAGCACGAGACTCATAAAATACTCATAGAATAGACTAATAGTAATAGATAATATGTTAAGAAAGTACAAAATAAAGGAAGTATCCTAAATTAATCCATAGATGATTCCCTTTTTTTAACTCACACTATCTATTAACTATTAGCCTTCTTTTTGTTTGAAAAATATGTTTTATTTAAAGATTGAAAGAGCAGAGTGGGTTATTCACATGTTCTGAAACATTTTATAAAAAAATGAATAAATTTTTATTTACGCAAAACTCAATTTAGTAGAACCTCTATAGTCCACTCCTTCCCCATACTACTAGTGAAAGAGAAAAAGTAAAAACTACCATTAAAGCAGCCCAAGCAAGACTTATTATATCCATATTCATTATGCCTCCTATCATTATAACTAGTTATCATTATAACTAGTTTATTTTTACTAAGTTCCTCATCAATTATAAGAAATTAATAAGAATAATGGAATCCCCCGCGTAGAGTACACATAAAAAATGAAAAAAGGGATTATGGAAGATGACCTAAAAAGAAAATGCAAAATATGCGAAACCACAAAAGGATCTGGCGTTATTTTCCTAATTTCAGAAAAATAGCAATCAATATACAAAAATATAAAAATCGTTAATTCTCATTGCGATCTAATCTGGCATCCTCCATATGATTATATAGGAGCATAGGAGCTAGGAAAGAACGGGATAGAGGTTCTTCTGTTTACGAAAAAAAATACGAAAAAAAGGATTTAAATAGAATAAATTCAAATTAGTAGTATGCGGAATTTTTATTTTCCTTTATAGGAATCCTATGAACAATAAGATATTTGAAATTCTTTATAGATCCATAGATCAGGCGACACCCGGATTTGAACTGGGGAAAAAAGGATTTGCAGTCCCTTGCCTTACCACTCGGCCATGTCGCCAAAAGGATACAAAAAAATTGGGGAACGACTTTTTTGATTGTACTTGTTTCTTTCTTTTCTACTAAAAAAAGACTGAGTTTATTCCACTTTTTTTTTTATTTTATTTGAGCCATTAAAGATTATATTGAAAAGTCAGATGAAAGTGGGAACCTTTAAGCGTATCAATTTAACTACGAGTATACGAAAGCATCTTTTATTTGAATCAAAATCTTTATTTCTAAGATACTAAAAAAAATATTTTCAAATTATTTATTTAATGATCTATGAAATTCTTAAATCTGTTTTATAGTTCAGATATGGAGTTTGATACAATTTAATGTGATTCAGTAAAAACAATAGAAATTAACTCATTAATAAATCATCTATTTTCTTAGCTATTAGATGAAGGATTCGTAAAGTTTTATAAAATCAATAATAAAGAAAATAAAAAGGAATTACAAAAAAAAATGCTTGTAGATGGAAAAAAAGGACGGAGTTACTACAATCCCTGGATTGAATCAGATACAATTTGAAGGATTTTGTAGGTTTATTGATCAAGGTTTAATCGAAGAACTTTCTAAGTTTCAAAAAATTGAAGATCTCGATCAAGAAATTCAGTTTCATTTATTTGTGGAAACATCTCAATTGGTAGAACCATTGATCAAGGAAAGAGATGCTGTGTATGACTCACTCACATATTCTTCTGAATTCTATGTATTGGCAGGATTAATTTGGAAAGCAAGTAAGGATCAATCTACACGTATGCAAGAACAAATCATTTTTCTTGGCAGCATTCCTCTAATGAATTCCCTGGGAAGTTTTATAGTAAATGGAATCTATAGAATTGTGATCAATCAAATACTACAAAGCCCTGGCATTTATTACCGGTCAGAATTGGACCATAACGGGATTTCGGTTTATACCGGCACAATAATATCAGATTGGGGAGGAAGATCAGAATTAGAAATTGATAGAAAAGCAAGAATATGGGCTCGTGTGAGTAGGAAAAAAAAAATATCGATTTTAGTGCTATCATCAGCTATGGGATTAGATCTAAGAGAAATTATAGAAAATGCCTGTTATCCTGAAATTTTTTTATCTTTTCTTAGTGATAAGGATAAAAAAAAAATTGGTTCAAAAGAAAACGCGATTCTGGAGTTTTATAAAAAATTCGCTTGCGTAGGCGGTGATCTATTAGTGTATGAATACTTATGTAAGGAATTACAAAAAAAATTTTTTCACCAAAGATGTGAATTAGGACAGCTTGGTCGACGAAATATGAACCGAAGACTTAATCTTGATATACCCCAGAATAATACTTTTTTGGTACCACGAGATATATTAGCAGCCGCCGATCATTTGATTGCACTCAAATTTGGAATGGGTACACTTGATGATATGAATCATTTGCAAAATAAACGTATTAGGTCTGTAGCGGATCTTTTACAAGATCAATTTGGATTGGCTCTCGTTCGTTTCGAAAATGTCGTTAAAAGCACTATATGTGGAGCAATTCGTCATAAATTAATACCCACTCCTCAGAATTTGGTAACTTCAACTCCCTTAACAACTACGTATGAATCTTTTTTCGGGTTACACCCATTATCTCAAGTTTTAGATCAAACCAATCCATTGACACAAATAGTTCATGCAAGAAAATTTAGTTATTTAGGACCTGGGGGGCTGACAGGACGCACTGCTAGTTTTCGGATCCGAGATATTCACCCTAGCCACTATGGGCGTATTTGCCCCCTATTGACACATCAGAAGGAATCAATGTTGGGCTTATTGGATCCTTAGCAATCCATGCGAGGATTGGACGTTGGGGATCTCTAGAAAGTCCACTTTTTGAAATTTCTGAGCGGTCAACAAGGGTACGGATGCTTTACTTATCACCGGGTAGAGATGAATACTATATGGTAGCGGCAGGAAATTCTTTGGCCTTGAATCAGAATATTCAAGAAGATCAGGTTGTTCCAGCTAGATACTGTCAAGAATTCCTTACTATTGCATGGGAGCAAGTTCATCTTCGAAGTATTTTTTCCTTCCAATATTTTTCTATTGGAGCTTCCCTCATTCCTTTTATCGAACATAATGATGCGAATCGAGCCTTAATGAGTTCTAATATGCAACGGCAAGCAGTTCCCCTTACTCGATCCGAGAAATGCATTGTTGGAACAGGGATAGAACACCACGCAGCTCTCGATTCAGGGTCTCTTGTTATAGCCGCCCACACGGGAAAGGTTGTTTATACGGATACTGAAAATATATTTGTATGGGTTTCTGGCCTTGGAAAGACTCTAAGCATTCCATTAGTTGTGCATCAACGTTCAAACAAAAATACTTGTATGCATCAAAAACCTCAGGTTCAACCGGGTCAATTTATTAAAAAAGGACAAGTTTTAGCGGAAGGTGCCGCTACGGTTGAAGGCGAACTTGCTCTCGGGAAAACTTTATTGGTAGCTTATATGCCGTGGGAGGGTTATAATTTTGAGGATGCAGTGCTCATTAGCGAACGCTTGGTATATGAAGAGATTTATACTTCTTTACACATAAGGAAATTTGAAATTCAAACTCATGTGACAAGCCAAGGCCCTGAACAAGTCACTAAAGAGATACCTCATTTAGAAGCCCATTTAATTCGCAATTTAGATATAAATGGAATTATAATGCAGGGATCTTGGGTACAGCCGGGGGATGTTTTAGTAGGTAAATTAACACCTCACGTGGTGAAAGAATCGTCGTATGCACCGGAAGATAGATTATTACGAGCCATACTTGGTATTCAGGTATCTACGTCAAAAGAAACTTGTCTCAAAGTCCCTATAGGTGGGAGGGGTCGGGTTATTGATGTAAGGTGGATACAGAAGAAAGGGGTTTACAATTCTAATCCGGAAAAGATTCAGGTATATGTTTTACAGAAACGTGAAATAAAAGTGGGCGATAAAATAGCTGGAAGGCACGGAAATAAGGGTATCATTTCAAAAATTTTGTCTAGACAAGATATGCCCTATTTACAAGATGGAAGAGCAGTTGATCTGGTATTTAACCCATTAGGAGTACCTTCAAGAATGAATGTAGGACAGATTTTCGAATGTTCACTGGGGCTAGCAGGGAGTTTGCTAAATAGACATTATAGAATCGCACCTTTTGATGAGAGATACGAACAAGAAGCTTCGAGAAAAATCGTATTTTCTCAATTACATGAAGCCAGTAAAAAAACAGCGCATCCATGGGCATTTGAACCCGAGTACCCAGGAAAAAGTAGAATATTTGATGGAAGAACGGGTAATCCTTTTGAACAACCTATCCTAATAGGTAAGGCTTATATCTTGAAATTAATTCATCAAGTTGATGATAAACTGCATGGGCGTTCCAGTGGACATTATGCGCTTGTTACACAACAACCCCTTAGAGGAAGAGCCAAACAGGGGGGGCAACGGGTAGGGGAAATGGAGGTTTGGGCTCTCGAAGGATTTGGAGTTGCTCATATTTTACACGAGATGCTTACTTATAAATCGGATCATATTAGAGCTCGTCAGCAAGTACTTGGTACTACGATCCTTGGAGGTACAATACCTCATCCAAAAAATGCTCCAGAATCTTTTAGATTGCTTGTTCGAGAACTACGATCTTTAGCTCTGGAACTTAATTATATCCTGGTATCTGAAAAGAACTTCCAGATTCATAGGAAGGAAGCTTAATTTAATCCGAACAAATAAAAATTTTTCTTTTATGATTGATCGATATAAACATCAACAGCTACGAATTGGATTGGTTTCTCCTCAACAAATAAGTGCTTGGGCCAGTAAACTTTTGCCAAATGGTGAAATAGTTGGCGAGGTAACAAAACCTTATACTTTTCTTTATAAAACAAATAAACCAGAAAAAGATGGATTATTTTGTGAAAGAATATTTGGGCCTATCAAAAGTGGAATTTGCGCGTGTGGAAATTCTCAAGTAATCATAGATAAAAAAGATAAACCCAAATTTTGTGAACAATGCGGAGTTGAATTTGTGGATTCGCGGATCCGAAGGTATCAAATGGGCTATATCAAACTAGCTTGCCCAGTAACTCATGTGTGGTATTTAAAACGTGTTCCTAGTTATATTGCGAATATTTTAGATAAACCTCTTCAAGAGTTAGAGGGCTTAGTATATGGCGATGTGTGATTTGATCGAAATTTTGATTTTACAGATTCAGAACAAGAAACTGTCATCCCAGTTAATCCAATTGGGATGCCCTAGACCTGACATGTTAATTGGAAAGCAAAACATGAAGCTCAGAATTGGGATGTAGTAATTACACTCCCACAAAAGAAAAAGGGAGTTGATCTATGGTCCATTTCATTACAAATCAAATAAATAGGGTTTTTTCTTTGTACCTCGTAAAAAAAAAAGTTTTTGTTTTGTTGAATGAACCTTAAAATTTCCTATTTCCTCTCATTTAGAAATTCAAGTAAGCAAATAGGGCATGGTTATAGGAGTTTATTTATCGCATATAGGCTTTAGTAAAAAGGGCTTAGCTTAGCGTCCGCCTAACCATCGAGGTATATATAGTGGGGCCTAAAAGATCAAATGGAACAATCTAGAGACAAGTAAATCCCTTCTAAATTACAAGTTACTACTTTACTAATATGGCGGTTCCTTATTAAGACGTAGTGGATTCATTCTTTGAGGGGAAGGAGACTACTCAAAAATTTTGCATTTCATTTATATTTATGTTATAATTGAACTTAAATAATTCCCGAATTAGAATAAGACTCAATGAAATCTAAATCAGAAATGAAATAGTACGGGTTCTATATTGCTTTACCATCAATGGAAACTTGAGTAAGGAGTAGAACTTTTTATCTTTTTCATTTGGGGTTGTCAATAATTTGAAACGAAGAGATACTTGTGTTTCTTTTCTTCTTTATTGTCTACTTCATGTACCTACTTGAGCCGGATGAAAGGAAACATTCACGTCCGATTTTGAAGGGGGGAACTCCTATTGAATCCTATCCCAATTTTTCTTTTGCTAGGCCCATAACTAAAAAACCCACTTTCTTACGATTACGGGGTTTATTCAAATATGAAATCCAATCGTGGAAATATAGCATTCCACTTTTCTTCACTACTAAAGGTTTCAATACATTTCGAAATCGAGAAATTTCTATGGGGGCCTGTGCTGTCCGAGAACAATTAGCCGATCTAGATTTACGAATGATTGCCGAAAATTCATTACTAGAATGGAAAGATTTGGGGGAAAAAAAGCGCACAGGGAATGAATGGGAAGATCAAAAAGCTACAAGACGAAAGGCTTTTTTGGTTAGACGGATGGACTTAGCTAAACATTTTATTCGAACAAATATAGAACCAGAATGGATGGTTTTATGTCTATTACCAGTAATTCCTCCTGAGTTGAGACCTATTATTCAGATAGATGGGGGAAAACTTATGAGTTCAGACATTAATGAACTCTATCGAAGAGTTATCTATAGGAATAATACGCTTACCAATCTATTAAAAACAAGTAAATCTACGCCAGGCGAATTAATAATATGCCAGGAGAATTTAGTACAAGAGGCTGTGGATACACTTCTTGATAATGGAATCCGCGGGCAACCAATGAGGGATGGGCATAATAAAGTTTACAAGTCATTTTCAGATATAATTGAAGGCAAAGAGGGAAGATTCCGTGAAACTCTGCTTGGTAAACGAGTTGATTATTCAGGACGTTCTGTGATTGTCGTTGGCCCCTCGCTTTCATTACATCAATGTGGCTTGCCGCGTGAAATAGCAATCGAACTTTTCCAGCCTTTTGTCATTCGGGATCTAATAAGAAAACATCTTGCCTCGAATATAGGGGTTGCAAAAAGGCAAATTCGACAAAAAGAATCACTTGTATGGGAAATACTTCAAGAAGTTGTGCAGGGGCATCCTGTATTGCTGAATAGAGCGCCCACTCTCCATAGATTAGGCATACAGGCATTTCAACCCATTTTAGTGGAGGGGCGTGCTATTTTTTTACACCCCTTAGTTTGTAAGGGGTTCAATGCAGATTTTGATGGAGATCAAATGGCTGTTCATGTACCTTTATCGTTGGAGGCTCAAGCCGAAGCCCGTTTACTTATGTTTTCTCATATGAATCTTTTATCTCCGGCTATTGGGGATCCCATTTCCGTACCAACCCAAGATATGGTTATTGGACTTTATGTATTAACGAATGAGAATCGTCGAGGTATTTGTCTT